AAGACTGGCAATTTGCACATGTCATATAACGCTTCATCAAGCAAGAGAATGAGAGCCTTTTACCCTCACCCCAGGAAAATTCCTCCTCATACACAGGGACACAGACAGGGCCCTGCTTTTTTAAGTTCCAAAGGACACCAGTATCAACTGCCTTGTTACCAATTCCAGAAGAATAAGGTTTTACCCCACAAGTTTTTCCTTCCTGGCTCCCTCTCCTGTCTTTATTAACCATATTCTGCTTTATTAGTTCCCCACTGTGTCTCTAATAACATATTCAACCTTCTAATTAACTACTCAGGTAATTGTTACAGGACCACCATAGAACCGGATGCCAAGGACTATCAAATATACCCAGGCATTAAGAAACAGTGACAGTCCAGAGGTATTCACATGGACTCAAAAGGGTCTGGATTCCGACAACAAAACAAAACAAAGCAAAGCAAAACAAAACAAAACAAAAACAAAACAACCAAAAAACCCCCAGACTTTAATGTAACAATCTATTAGCATCTCCTGGATGCTAAACTAATAAAGAAAACAGGTGCCTTGAAGTTTGTCACAGATAAGGCTTATCTCAAGTATCTTAGCTATCCTGGAACTTGCTCTGTAGACCAGGCTGGCCTGGAACTCACAGAGATCTGTCTGCCTCTGCCTCCAGAGTGCTGGAATTAAAGGTGTGCACCACCACCGTCTGGTGAGTTTTGTGATTTTTGTACAAACTCTCCAGTAGCCCACACTGGCCTCCAGCTCACACTGAAGCACTGTTGATTTTGGTCCCCTCCTCCTCCCTCTGTCTCCCAGGGGCTGGGATTTGCCAACATGCTGGGATTAGGTTTTTTTTTTATGATAGAATGAACAGTTTAGAAGCTGAAGGAACAGTCCAGCTGGTAGACAGCTTGTCTAGGGAGCAGGAAGCCCTAGTCTGATCTTCCTCATCAGATGAACTGGTTAGTAATCATAGCAGCTGTGAAAGGGAAGGTCGGAAGTTCAAGATCTTCCTCAGCAATGTTTCAGTTCTGAAGAAAGCCTGGATTACAGAAGGCCCTATCTCCTCAGGTGGTGGTGGCCCACTCCTTTAATCCCAGCACTTAGGAGACAGAGTCAGGCACATCTCTAGAAGTTCCGGGCCAGCCTGCTCCACAACTACTCCACACTATCTGGAAAGTGAGGGGAAATACCAGGTCAGACAGCCAGACAGCCTGAGAGGATGGAGTTCTCCAAACACAAGAGGCTGCATTCTGGGGAAGGGGTGCACCAGTTTTCAACATCAATAAACACATTTTTAAAATCCCCTCGAACTTTTCTCTAAATATCTCCCTCAACACTTACAGAACTCAGTGACCTCCCAGTCATTGAAAGATTAAATCCAGGAGCCAAAGAGAAGGCTTAGTGGTTAGGAGCACTGGCAGCTCTTCCAGAGGTCTTGGGTTCAATTCCCAGCACTCACATGGCAGCTCACAACTCTGTATAACTCCAGTTCCAGGAGACTTGACATTCTCACACAGATATAACATGCCGACAAAATACCAATGCACATTAAAATAAAAATAAATAAATCATTAAAAATTTAAAAAGAAAAAAAAAACCCAAAAAACAAAAGACGGCCAAACACCAAACTCTAAAAACTGCCCAACAATCCACAGTGGCCATCTCCTTTCCCTCTCCAACTAAAGCAAAACTTTTCTACTTTTGGCCAGGCCAAGCTCTCAAACCTAACACAGAACCTCAACTTCCAGCAGCTCTTATGAGCCTCTCCTTTTCCACCAAACAAATTATTTCTTACAAATATTTTTACTTTGTAAACCACAAAATTCAAGGAACAAGTTTGCAAATATATCCATGCCCTAACTTCCCCTGTCCCATTCCCATGTTATGTATAATATTACACATCACTTACAGACACCAAGAACACCAGATTGTTTTCTACAGGTTTCTTCTTATTTATCATATTCACTTTGCTTAATAAGGGTTTTAATAGGGGCTGGAGAGATGGCTCAGATGTTAAGAGCACTGGGTTCAATTTCCAGCACCCACACAGCAGCTCACAACTGCCTATAACACCAGTTGCATGGGATATGGCACCCTCATTCATGTAGGCAAACACCAATGCACATAAAATGAAAATAAATTATGTTTTTAAAATAGAAGGCTGTAATAGCTCATCTATGAAAGTCCATTATTCCGTTTAAATGATGCTTTACCTTCTACTAATCTGAAGAACTCTCTTGGATGCTAAGTTTCCCTAATGTCTAGAGACTTGTCCCCCCCATTGTCCTAATGTCCCAAGTACAATGCCACATCATCCTATATGTAATTCCATATGGTCCAGAAACTCCAAGGAGCACTGTCCTGATTGCTTCTCTGTGGCATGAATCTGCAGAAGACTGTACTTACCAGTTAGGTAGGAGAGCCACAGCTTCCTGTTACTGTTATGCCTAGATGGTGGGGACCCCCAGTAGACCACCACGGAGACTGAATTCCATATAAAAGCCAAGAGCTTTTATTTCAAAGCTGAGAGCATGGACTCTCTGTCCAATAAAGTGGTGAGAGCAGAGAGCACCAACCCCAGGCGGGGGTAAGGTTTTTATCATAGCAGAGGTTGGGGTGAGGGGATTTCTAGGGTTCAGGACCATGATTGGCTAACATGCTTGTCTAGGGGGATCTGTTAAAGGGAACTGGGTGTGTTCTAGGCTCAGGGACATCTGGCGTTCTTACCTAATCTTATCTAAGGGTTGGTACATATTAGGATGTCTGATACTTCCCCCTAGATGCTGACCCATCCCTGCTAGCTTATGACTTTTCCTGGATGTGGGTGTTGCCTGCTCGTAAGCATGTCACAGAAGCCGTGTCTGGGTCTCTAAGCCCGTCATGGGAGCTGTGTGGTCAAGCTGTTTTGCAACCTCCCTCGCCCCCACAATTACAGTCTGTTCTTCAAATTTTGTGCTGCTGATAGACTTCCAGAGCTGCCCATGTATAAATATGGGTCTCTCCTGGAATTCCATCCTTATCTCTTGGTTACACCTTCAAGTATTTTGTTTGAAAACTGAGTCTCCTTGGTTCTACAATCTTCTGCCAGATAGTATCTATTCACTGACTTAAAAGAGACTTAAGAAAATATTTAAAATAGCACTCAGGCAGCAACAGCAGGTTAATCTTATCAGTTTCAAGCCAGCCTGGTCTTTATTAGAAGACCCTGATTCCAAAAACAAACAAGCACAAAGAGCAAGAATGAAATTTCTGCTAGACCATCTCTACAGCTTCAGCAAAGGCCTTCACTGGA